ACGGCGTTTTGTTTGGTTTCCTTTAGTTTCCCTTCATCTGCTGCTCCACAGGCCATTGCCCGCCCGTTGCTTTGGTGGTGGCCCATCACGGCCATTGTCCGCGCCCCCAAACACTCGAGGGCCCACGTGTCTTAGTTACACCGGATGACAGTGTGTGGCATTCCAGTTACATTCCCCGTTTTGTTCTGCCCTCTTTTAGACACTCCCTCGTTGCCTTTTGGCAACCGTAAACCTTCTCGTTCCCTCATTAGCTTTTAGCTCCCTCCCTCTCAACAATTAGACCCGAATTTCTCCTTACTTTTTTATTGTTGTTGTTGTTTTTTTTTTTGACCCCTCTACGTATTGTTCCAGGCCGAATAGTCCAAGCACCTGGTTTCACCTCCGTGGTGCTCCTCTTCCTTCCGCATTATCACTTAATTTGATACACTTCATTGCTGGACAACGAAGCGAGGGAGCCGCGCACTGCACGAGAAGCGAAAAGAGAGAGCAAGAGACTTGCTCCTCACAGGAGCGTTGCCCTCCGCCTAGTTCGCGACGAAGTTTTTGCCGCGAGCGATGTTCTTCTCCAGCTCAGCGACGGCCTTCTCCATAAGGCCCTCCTCAAATTTATTAAACTGTGGCTTGTGCACCTTCACCACCCCACTCTTACCGAGCTCCACTGCGCAGCTAAAGTAGGACAACTTTGGCCACACGTCGGTCGGAACGTAGCTGTACTCCACAATTCCGCCGTCGCCACGGAGAGCCTTCAGAATGGAGTTCGACCACTCGGCTCCAGCATACGCCATCGACAGCGTGGCAGAGCCAGCACCGTCCTTGGCCTGAACGACCTCGTCACCGCCGTACTGCACTCGGTGCGTGATGGCCTCCACCTGGCTATCCGACAGCTTCACACCGCACTGAGAGAGAAGCGGCACAATTGTCGGCCCGCTGTGGCCGCCAACAACAGGGACATGAACGTCGTACGGGCTCTTGCCACCTGCCTCTGCCACAAAGGTTCGAGCACGCACTAAGTCTAGTGTCGTCACACCGAACAGACGAGCGGGATCAAACACGCCAGCCTTCTTGAGGGTTTCCGCAGCAATCGGAACGGTGCTGTTGACGGGATTTGAGATGATCCCAATCACAGCCTTGGGGCAGAACTTGGCGCACGCCGCGACAAGGTCACGCACAATGGAGGCATTTGTGTTGAACAAATCGTCACGCGTCATGCCCGGCCTGCGCGGCACACCAGCAGGGATAACAACGAGTTCGACGCCGTCAAGGGCCTTGCTGAGGTCCTCCTTGGCGTAGCCCGTCACCTTGGCGGGAGAACAGATGTGGGAAAGGTCTGCAGCAACGCCAGGCGCACCGCGAACATCGTAGCAGCTGATTGCAGACACCAAAGGATTGTTCTTCATCAAGAGGGCAAGGGGCTGGCCAATGCCACCAGCGGCACCAAGGACGGCAACCTTGCTGAGGCAGGCGGCAGAAGTGCGCATCATCGCTCGTACTTTCTGTGTATTACTTGATCGTGTGTTGTTGTTGTTGTGTTTTGGCTTGTTTTGTCGGGAACTGCAATTCCGGGCAGCCCAAAAACATGACGAGAGGAAAACGTGAAAGAAAAAGATCGTACGTTTCAAAAGGCAGC